CAGTGGTACCATACAGACACTGGACAGTACCATACACATATTGGACAGTACCATACACACACTGGGTAGTACAACTTACACACTGGGCAGTACCATACACACACTGGGTAGTACAACTCACACGCTGGGCAGTACCATGCACACAGTGGTACCATACAGACACTGGACAGTACCATACACATATTGGACAGTACCATACACACAGCGGGCAGTACCATACACACACTGGGTAGTACAACTCACACGCTGGGCAGTACCCTACTAATGCTGGGTAGTACAACTCACACGCTGGGTAGTACCATACACACACTAGTACCATACACACACTGGGCAGTACCATACATACACTGGACAGTATCATACAGATACTGGACAGTACCACACACACACTGAGACTATACACACACTGGGTAGTACAACTTACACACTGGGAAGTACCATACACACACTAGTACCATACACACACTGGGCAGTACCATACACCCACTGAACAGTATCATACAGATACTGGACAGTACCACACACACACTGAGACTATACACACACTGGGTAGTACAACTCACACACTGGGCAGTACCATACACACACTAGTACCATACACACACTGGGCAGTACCATACACACACTGAACAGTATCATACAGATACTGGACAGTACCACACACACACTGAGACTATACACACACTGGGTAGTACAACTTACACACTGGGCAGTACCATACACACGCTGGGTAGTACAACTCACACACTAGTACCATACCCACACTGGGCAGTACCATACACACACTGGGTAGTACAACTCACACACTGGGCAGTACCATACACACACTGGGTAGTACAACTCACACACTGGTACAATACACACACTGGGTAGTACAACTCACACACTAGGCAGTACCATACACACACTCGGTAGTACAACACACACACTAGTACCATACACACACTGGTACTATACACACACTAGGTATTACCATACACACACTGGACAGTAGCATACACACACCGGACAGTATTATACACACATTAGACAGTACCATACACCCACTGAACAGTATCATACAGATACTGGACAGTACCATGCAGACACTGGACAGTACCACACACACACTGGACAGTACCACACACACACTGAGACCATACACACACTGGGTAGTACTACTTACACACTGGACAGTACCATACACACACTAGTACCATACACACACTGGACAGTACCACACACACACTGGACAGTACCACACACACAATGAGACAATACACACACTGGGTAGTACTACTTACACACTGGGCAGTACCATACACACACTAGTACCATACACACACTGGACAGTACCACACACACACTGGACAGTACCACACACACACTGAGACCATACACACACTGGGTAGTACTACTCACACACTGGGTAATACCATACACACACTAGTACCATACACACACTGGACAGTACCACACACACACTGGACAGTACCACACACACACTGAGACCATACACACACTGGGTAGTACAACTTACAAACTGGGCAGTACCATACACACAGTGGTACCATACAGACACTGGACAGTACCATACACATATTGGACAGTACCATACACACAGTGGGCAGTACCATGCACACACTGGTACCATATACACACTGGGTAGTACAACTCACACGCTGGGCAGTACCCTACACACAGTGGTACCATACACACACTGGACAGTACCATACACACACTGGACAGTACCACACACACACTGAGACCATACACACACTGGGTAGTACCCTACACACGCTGGGTAGTACAACTCACACACTGGGCAGTACCCTACACACGCTGGGTAGTACAACTCACACACTGGGCAGTACCCTACACACGCTGGGTAGTACAACTCACACACTGGGTAGTACAACTCACACACTGGTACAATACACACACTGGGCAGTACCATACACACACTGGTACCACACACACACTAGGCAGTACCATACACACACTGAGACCATACACACACTGGGTAGTACCATACACACACTCGTTAGTACAACTCACACACTAGTACCATACACACACTGGTACTATACACACACTGGGTAGTACCATACACACACTGGACAGTAGCATACACACACCGGACAGTATTATACACACATTAGACAGTACCATACACCCACTGAACAGTATCATGAAGATACTGGACAGTACCATGCAGACACTGGACAGTACCATACACACACTGGACAGTACCACAAAGTCACTGAGACCATACACACACTGGGTAGTACAACTTACACACTGGGCAGTACCATACACACGCTGGGTAGTACAACTCACACACTGGGCAGTACCATACACACACTGGGTAGTACAACTCACACATAAAGCATAACGTACGTCATATATGTCCTGAGATGCATTAAGTTCGTCATATATGTCCTGAAATGCATTAAGTACGTCATATTTGGCCTGAGATGCATTACTTACGTCATATATGTCCTGAGATGCATTCAGTTCGTCAAATATGTCCTGAGATGCATTAAGTACGTCATATTTGGCCTGAGATGCATTAAGTACGTCATATATGTCCTGAGATGCATTAAGTTCGTCATATATGTCCTGAGATGCATTAAGTACGTCATATATGTCCTGAGATGCATTCAGTTCGTCAAATATGTCCTGAGATGCATTAAGTACGTCATATATGTCCTGAGATGCATTAAGTTCGTCATATATGTCCTGAGATGCATTAAGTACGTCATATATGTCCTGAGATGCATTAAGAACGTCATATATGTCCTGAGATGCATTAAGTTCGTCATATATGTCCTGAGATGCATTAAGTTCGTCATATATGTCCTGAGATGCATTAAGTTCGTCATATATGTCCTGAGATGCATTAAGTTCGTCATATATGTCCTGAGATGCATTAAGTTCGTCATATATGTCCTGAGATGCATTAAGTACGTCATATTTGGCCTGGGATGCATTAAGTTCGTCATATATGTCCTGAGATGCATTAAGTTCGTCATATATGTCCTGAGATGCATTAAGTTCGTCATATATGTCCTGAGATGCATTAAGTTCGTCATATATGTCCTGAGATGCATTAAGTTCGTCATATATGTCCTGAGATGCATAAAGTTCGTCATATATGTCCTGAGATGCATTAAGTTCGTCATACATGTCCTGAGATGCATAAAGTACGTCATACTTGGCCTGAGATGCATTAAGTACGTCATATATGTCCTGAGATGCATTAAGTACGTCATATATGTCCTGAGATGCATTAAGTACGTCATACTTGGCCTGAGATACATTAAGTACGTCATATATGTCCTGAGATGCATTAAGTACGTCATACTTGGCCTGAGATGCATTAAGTACGTCTTATATTGTCCTGAGATGCATTTAGTACGTCATATATGTCCTGAGATGCATAAAGTTCGTCATATATGTCCTGAGATGCATTAAGTACGTCATACTTGGCCTGAGATGCATTAAGTACGTCATATATGTCCTGAGATGCATAAAGTTCGTCATATATGTCCTGAGATGCATTAAGTACGTCATACTTGGCCTGAGATACATTAAGTACGTCATATATGTCCTGAGATGCATTAAGTACGTCATACTTGGCCTGAGATGCATTAAGTACGTCTTATATTGTCCTGAGATGCATTTAGTACGTCATATATGTCCTGAGATGCATTAAGTATGTCATATTTGGCCTGAGATGCATTACGTATGTCATACTGCTAGAATATTGATTCACCTGGTTTTATAGCCCATGTCCATTGTGTCTGAAAACTCCTATCCGATAAGGAGTGTTTTCACTACGACGTTAGAGTAACAATTGTTTGATACTTTCCATTTGTTTATCCAGTTGCAACGGACGACAGAGAGTTTTCTTGCTTACATGTTATAAGTCACACTTACACATTACTTGAACAGTTAACTACAGCAATAAAGACAAGATTCGTTGACGAAGTGTATGTTTATAATCTAAACAATCGTTGTTGAAGATACATGCAACATATTGTATAATAAAACATGAAAAGAAACAGCATGCCTTCATTGGGACATATGGCTGAGTGAAATGGAGTGAGTGAGTGAGTAAGTGAGTTCTGTTTAACGCCGCTTTTAACGGCATTCCAGTTATATCACGGCGTGTCAGCTAAATGTGGCGGGAAAGCCCGAAGTGATGCAGGTCTCAGACGTTTACCACTTCGGTGAAACCCACGAGCATGGTGCGGACAAACCTAGAAACATAATCGGGGCGAACCGGGATTGGAACCCCAAATCATAGGTTTCTGGCGTGCCGAAGGGACGCAACTCTGCACAGCGAATCGCGCCGCCTTAGACGACTGGGCCACCCGAGCCCCCGAGTGAAATGAAGCATGTAGATTTCATTGTATGGGTAGAGAGCTCGAAAGGGATTGTTTCATCAAGACTGCTCAGTGACTACAGGTGGCCAATTTTCAGTGGAGGCGGGCTGACTGACATTGTCAGAAATAAATAAAATAATAGAACAGCTGTGTTACGGCAATACAACGATATATTTTTACATGGTACATTTTATATCAATTTTGAAACTACTTCAGGCAAGAATATCGGACATTGCATACATATATTGCATATAGTGCATGCATGTTTATCACTGGTGTAACCGCATGCATACTGTAAACCCACCTACGCGGATCACATCAAAGAAAATTATACCATTTTGAAATTATACACATACAACGCACGGTGATGTTGCTAACATAGATGTTGGTGATGGTGGTCGTTACCACTGAGTGCACCTTCATTGAACTCATATATGTAATAACAATGTTCTATAGACTCAGTGTGGGTATGTAGAACCTAACTGTTTTACATAAATAACGCGACAAAACCCTTTCTATATCTAATTGGAATCTCTGCATAAAGCAGTGCCGGTAGTACGATTCCGACTATATCATGAGAATGTGTTTATGAATTATTATCAAATATTGATGATACCAGGTGTTCGCGAAAACGTTCTCGTATCCTGCCCCACCGGTGGCACCCGTCACAAACACATGCAAAGGCAAGGGAACTGTTCACCTGAAAACAACACCGGAACATATGATACAAATGATAGGGAATTGCATCGGATATCATTGTCACACATGTCAACCATAAAACGTTCTTGTATCATGCATTGAGGGAGTAGGTTCGTATGCCGCCATGGAACCACATTGGACAGTTTGTAGAACTCTGGTACGGAGCTGACACATGCCTGTCCTCAGAACGTCTCGTTCGTGTTTCCCTCACTGGAAATGCTAGCCTCTGTTTCCCGCGTTCCAGACTTGCCACACACCCTCCCCCTGCCCACCACCCTAAAGTAAACACACTCCACCCCCAGACAGAGGAGGGCGAGGGTGGTGGAGCCGGCGAACACCAGGAACGGCCCACTTGTACTCTCCAGCTCCAGACTCTGGACCGTGCTGGCCTGGCTGGACGTGGGGCACGTGGCGCTGGGTGACCACCACCTGTGTCGCCACTTCTCGGTCAGCCCCGCCTCCTGGAGCTGGATCAGGCTGCAACAGAAACTTAGAATCAAATATTGAATTAAACTGCATAGGCTGCATCGTTGTTTAATAAAAGAAACAAAAATCATTTTCAAAACCATAAATATAAATTGTCAATGCAAGAGAATATCCAGACTAGATTTTCTGCCGAAACAGATTCCACTTGGCGTAAAGGGCAAATAGCTGTTTATGTACAATTCCGACTATAGCATGAACATGTGTTTCTGGATCTGTAGGGGCGGTCGGGTAGCCTAGTGGTTAAAGCGTTCGCACGCCACGCCAAAGACCCAGGTTCGATTCCAGACATGAGTACAATGTGTGAAGCCCGTTTCTTGTGTCCCCCGCCGTGATATTGCTGGAATATTGCTAAAAGCGGCGTAAAACCATACTCACTCACTCACTCACTTGTGGTCAGGCGCGGTGACTTGGTTGATTGCGTGTCATCCCGACGGCGTGGATAGTTGCTCATGATATCAATCACTGGGTTGTCTGATCGATTTTTACAGCCCTCTGTCATATATTATAGCTGAACTAATAAGTGTAACGTTTAAAACTAACAAACACATCTTGTTGGCTAAACAATTATTTTGGTGGAGTTGTTCATTAACAGGATCATTAAACGGCAAGGTATTATGAATGGTGATGACCGGATGAACCTCAGACCATCATCAGTTTTAGGGTGAACCTTACGGCCGAAGAAACTGTCTCAAATACTTTGTGCAACTATCTGTAAACGCTGGTTACTTGAGTGAGTTTGATTTTACGCTGCTTAAGCAATAATCCAGCAATATCACGGCGGGGGACAGCAGAAATGGGCTTCACACATTGTACCCATGTCGGGAATCGAACCCGGGTCTTCGGCGTGACGAGCGAACGCTTTAACCACTAGGCTACCCGACCGCCCTACTGGTTACTTGAGTCAAAATGGATTTCGATCGTGGTCGCTCGTTGGTCCTCTTACTTACTTTAAGGAAAGGATCTCCAGTAATGGGGATGATTCTGGCACAATGAACCCCAGACCCCCCACATTGAATGGAGTCTCGCCAGACATGAGATTCTCGCAGTCTGTCATACGCAGAAACTCGATCTGTGATTGGTCAGTCAGCAGCGCATAGTCTCCAGTCAGAACCAAATCGAGTGCCTCGTCATTGTTCTTCACAGATGGCGCTGTTTTAACCATTGCCCACAACTTCCGGAAAGTCTCAGTTTCTCCTTTCTGGAACAATTAACACATTGATAAAATAGTATCTTTTTATATTCTTTATCTCTCTCATACCCACAATTCGTTGTGGTCAACCTCGTACATCTGCCACAGGTCAGAGAGAGGTGATGATTTGTCACATCTCACACAGTCCATTCTACAAATTGCATGACTGTATTTCTTCAACAATTGCATTTTTGAAAAGTCTACACGTTTAGATAAAATATGTCATGAAATGTATAACTTTCACTTCGAAAATATCATAAAACGTACAAAACTATTTGCGTATTTATCCTTTGTTTACAAATTTTGTAAAAGCTTGTTACACGCGCAGATATCAAATCGGATAGCTAGTGACAAGGTCATTTTGATGTGAATAAATATATTGCCTATTCATACTACTCCTCACTGTCGCTGTTGTAGTAGAATATCTAAATAATTATGCTAAACAATTTGTAAATCGCACTGAAATCACAACACGGCAGGGTTGCTCAATTTAAGAATTGCGCATGTGTCTACTGTAATGTCTCACGGCGGTGGAGTGTCACTGTTTATTTAAGAAATAAACGACGAATAGGAGTTGTTTATCGTACAATAAAACACGACAGGGAGAATAAACCATGAGGGGCGCAGCTCCGAGTGGCTTATTCTCCCTGCAGTGTTTTATTGTACGGTAGGGGTTGGTCGGATAGCCTAGTTGTTAAAGCGTTCGCTCGTCACGCCGAAGACCCGGGTTCTATTCCCGTACAATGTGTGAAGCCCATTTCTGGTGTCCCCCGCCGTGATATTACTGGAATATTGCTAAAAGCGGCGTAAAACCATACTCACTCACTCACTCACTATTGTACGGTAGACAATGACGAAGTGTCGTTTGTTTCTTATATGAGACATCAACATTTTGTACAACCCCTTTTAAGGGTGTTTAAACATTGTACAAGCTTCATAAACAAATCTCGTGTTTAAATAATGATGACTCCCTGAATAAAATCCGATCTCGGAAATGTCGGAAATAAACTTTGTCGCGTAGCTATCTCATATGGCGAAATGAATAAACTTCCGAACTGACTCTAAATCCATGATGTATAAATAATCCAAGGCCCTGACGCATATGACGTATGTAGTCAATACAAGCACTTATTCACACTATCGTGTGTGACGGCTATACAGTAAGTGTTATGATGAAATCGATACTACGTGTTTGTTTCACACTGTTGCAACAGGAAAATATTACCTGCCAGCACCTATACTGAACCCTTGATTGCCTCTATTGATGTATTGCCGTCATGGGACATTAACACAGGTAACAGTCTGTTTCCGATCTAAACATGTTGACATGAACGACAATATTGATTTCAACACATTGGATCACTTGACTCGGGGGTTGTACTAAATTGTTGTTTGCTTGTAGAATATGTTCGCGTTTCTGTTTTAAAAACGTAGAGGTAATTTGCCAACACGATTCAATAACCATAAGGCTTGGCGGTACAGCCTATTGGTACCGAGATCGCTCGTCAGGCCAACAACTCGAGTTTGATTTTCGGGTGGTAATAAATTGTACAAGCTTTATAAAAATAAATTCTCGTATTTAAATAACGATGACTCCTTGAATAAAATCCGATCTCGGGAATGTCGGACAGGTCCATTTTATGAACCATAGGTTAAAATTTGGTATTTCACGGATATTTTCATTATTTTCATATAGATTGTCTGTACCTTTTCTCCTAATACCGATTGTCATATCTTGCCCACTTTGGGATGCGATCGTTCGGCCATTGCGTTTACCTGCGTTGCCGAGCTACATCTTTTGGGAACAACGCGTTTCTCTGTTTTGAAAACATAGAGGTCATTTACAAAGACGATTCAATAACCATAAGGCTTGGCGGCACAGCCCAGTGGTACCGGGTTCGCTCGTCAGGCCTACGACCCGAGTTTGATCACGAGCATGTGTTTATGAATCACTATCAAACAGTGATGACACCAGGTGTTCGCGAAAAGGTAAGCGTATCCTGCTCCCACACGTCACACGTCACAAAGCACTTGTTCTATTGTTTCACTCAGGTGCAGCCTCAGGTGTTTACCAAAACAAGTCAGTGTGTATACAAGTTATCAACAACAGAAAATCGTCAGCTAAGAGCTATGTCTTATCACTAAAACAATCCGTACACCAAGAACTAAGAACAGTCTGGCCTTGCTCGAATAGGGGCGGTTGGGTAGCCTAGTGGTTAAAGCGTTCGCTCGTCACGCCGAAGACCCGGGTTCAATTCCCGACATGGGTACAATGTGTGAAGCCCATTTCTGGTGTCCCCCGCCGTGATATTGCTGGAATATTGCTAAAAGCGGCGTAAAACCATACTCACTCACTCACCCTTACTCGAATACGAACTACTCGTGGTGCTGAGACAAGGTAAGCGACGGTACCTGGAGTTCCTGGTACAGGTTGGAGCCCTGTTTGACCAGGGGCTTTATTGCAGTCTGATCAGCGAGGTCGTCGATGTTCCTGATGGGTTTGCCCACGAAGTTGACGGTGAGGAAGGCGACGAGGTTGGCCTTGTAGGAGGCCACCATGAGTATAGTGAACACCCACCAGAACCCCAGGATGAACCGGCCCGAGATGTTGGGTGGGGATATCTCACAACCTGATGAGGTAAAGAGGGAACAGACATGTTAGAAAATAAGAATTCTCCATGTTAAAACAAAGGTACCCATAGCTGCAAACTCGGCGCTCGTAACTGTTGTATAATGAAAGCTACAGCCGAGACGTAATGTTTCCCTCGTGAAGTTCCGGCGTACACTAGGTCTCCAGCAACCCATGCTTGTTGTAAAAAGAAAATATGCTTGTCGTAAGATGAGGTGAGGTGAAATTGGGTTTAACGTCGCGTCCAAGATTATTCCACTTATATTGCGTCGTGCATGTATGTGTGTGTGTTTGTGTGGCTGCTTGTACTAGTACGGACTGATGCCAATTTATAGTGCTAGCCCACTGAGATACCATGCCGCAGTTGAACATGAATACCCCACTCAGACACAGTATACTGACTCCGAGCCGACCAGTCCTTGTTTAGCCCCTGAATGCCGAGCGCCAGACAGGGTAACAACAAGTACCATCTTTTAACGTTTTCTGGTTTGACGCGGCCGGGGATCGAACCGGGGGCGGACGCTCTACCACTCCCCCACTAGACCGTGGAGGCGGTCCGCTTGTCGTAAGAGCTGGGGTACTACCAATAATGACGTTACAGTGATTGGTGAACATTAGCATTGTCACTTCGTCAGTTTCAGGACTCCGCTTCTTCTCATGTGACAGAGGGGATTCGGATGACCTTGTGGTCTGATACGACGCGCTGTCGGCCTTTGATTAACAGCACAATACCTCTGCTAATGGGTTTCTCAAAAATAGTCTACCACACACCGTAAAATAAATGAAATAATGTTCAAAGCGACGACACCCAACTCATTCATCACTAAGTCAAATATGTTTCATTAATTGGTTCTAAATATAGAATGCTCAAATATGTTTCACAACTTGTTTTTAAATAAAACTTTGCATAATTTACTAAATTGTAAATATATTAACTTGGTCTCGTCGCTATATGGCTGAAATAATGCCGATGCGACGGTAAATTATAACTCACTCACTCAGCCCTGTCAAATAAATATCAATATAAACGTTTATTAATCAAAATATAGATAAACATCCTTAACACAATGTTTTTATTAGCTAGTTAGGTGGTCTGTGAGTGACGATGTCACTGCAACCATCCGGTCACCTTGCTCCATGTAGGATTCGTACACTATCCAGATGTTGTCTGATGTGCTGATGCCTCTCCTCCTGCTGCCGCCCTCTCCCTCCTCCTCCTGCTGCTGCTGCTTGATGGGGCTGAGGTGATTGACCAGGGCCAGCGTGAAGCCCACCACCAGCACGGCCCCTGCCACGGACAGCCACACGCTCTCAGTGAACGGCTTGAACACCCTGGAGCACCACCACAGAATCATGCTACTGTTTGTTATTATGTTAATGTTTCGAAAAATATGTATTTCTCGCGATATTTCGTATCATGGTGTTTCAGCTGAGGCTTGTTAATGACAGATGATTCAGACTGTTCTGTGGTTCAGGTTTATCATCTTGAAGTCGGTAAATTGTGATACTTTTGGACACCGGGAAAAATACTTTATAATATTTTGGTTGACTGTTACTTATTTCTTAAATATGTCCCAGCTCTCAAGCAGACATAATGAGAGAAATGATTTACCTGAAAATCTTGCTGCTTTTGTCCTCGAAACGTCTGAGTATGATGCCCGCCCCTTCCTCCATGTAGGGCTTGGTGAAGTCAATCACCCTCTCCCGCTCTGACGTCAGACTGATGGGTCCGATTCCCAGGTGAATAGACTGCAGACACAAGAAGACACAGTGAGGAGTGACAGGGGACCTCCTTATGCGATCCCCGACCCCACACTACACACTTTGTTAACATTTGACAGATGCAAAACCAAAGAATTTACCGGAAGATTTAATTAATATTTTTCTGTCATTGCATCAAGACATACACTTTTGGGGAAAAAACAAGCAAATCCGATGAACCATTATTTTTGTAAGGCCAAATTATTTCTTTCCAGTATTGTCTGGAATAAACATTTTTTTCTAAAAGAGCCCAAAAAGAATTATCAAATTGGTCGGTCCATAAGAAAAGCTAACAGTCGTCAACTAGTCACTGGATGATCACTTTGACTTGGACGGCCAATGAAATCCTTCAAAAGACGCGTCATACAATGGAAGCACAAACCTTCTTCCTCGCCATCTCCACCACGCCGTTCCAGTTGCCGTCTTCATCCACAGTGCCCCAGAACTCGTCCGGAGACTGTATCAGCTCGTACCTACAGACAAGGATTGAAGATAAGGATCTTTGGAACATCTACATAGCAGAGGAGCGTTGGGTAAGTCGAGTAAGTCGAGTAAGTCGAGTAAGTTGGGTAAGTCGAGAAAATCAGGTAAGTCAAGTAAGTCGGGTAAGTCAAGTAAGTTATTTAAGTCGAGTAAGTTGGTTAAGTCGAGTAAGTCAGCTAAATCGGGTAAGTCGAGAAAGTCAGGTAAGTCGAGTAAGTTGAGTAAGTCAGATAAGTCGAGTAAGTCAGGTAAGTCGAGTAAGTCAGGTAAGTCGAGAAAGTCGGGTAAGTCAAGTAAGTTGGTTAAGCCAAGTAAGTTAGTTAAGTCGAGTAAGTCAGGTAAATCAGGTAAGTCTAGAAAGTCAGGTAAGTCGAGAAAGTTGAGTAAGTCAGGTAAGTCGAGTAAGTCAGGTAAGTCGAGTAAGTCAGGTTAGTCGAGAAAGTCGAGTAAGTCGAGTAAGTCGGTAAGTTGGGTAAGTCGAGAAAGTCAGGTAAATCGATTAAGTCGAGAAAGTCAAGTAAATCGGTTAAGTCGAGAAAGTCAGGTAAGTCGAGTAAGTTGAGTAAGTCAAGTAAGTCGAGAAAGTCGGGTAAGTCAAGTAAGTCGGGTAAGTCGAGAAAGTTTGGTAAGTCGAGTAAGCTGAGAAAGTCGAGAGAGTCAAGTAAGTCGAGTAAGTTGGGTAAGTCGGGTAGTCAGGTAGTCGGGTAACTTGGGTTAGTCGAGTGAGTCTGGTAAGTCGAGTAAGTCAGGTAGTCGGGTAATTCAGGTAAGTCGAGTAAGTCGGGTAAGTCGAGTAAGTCGGGTAGTCAGGTAGTCGGGTAACTTGGGTCAGTCGAGCAAGTCAGGTAGTCAGCTAATTCAGGTAAGTCGAGTAAGTCGGATAAGTCGAGTAAGTCAGGTAGTCGGGTAAGTCGATTAAGTAAGGTAGTCAGGTAGTTAAGTAAGTCAAGTAAGTCGAGTAAATCAAGTAAGTCGAGTAAGTCAGGTAGTCGGGTAATTCAGGTAAGTTGAGTAAGTCGAGTAAGTCGGGTAATCGGGTCAGCCGGGTAAGTCATTGGTAGCTATAGTGTCATTACGCCAAAGACCAAGTTTGATTACCACCCTGGACACTATGTGTAAATCCCCTTCGTGGTGTCCCTCTACGTGTAGTGGCTGGAATACTGCTTAAACGGCGTCAAACCAAACTCACTCACACGTTCCCCATAAGCGGTGCCTACCTGAAATTGAGCCTCGCCGCCAGCTCGTCCAAGATGTCGACACAGAAACCCTCCCAGCCCGAGTTGTTAGGCAGCTTCATCACGAACGGTGCGGCCTGCAACATGGAATACAAAGCGTCACACTGGTCATCATCCGGGGCAAGGGTGTTCACTGACTATAAAAGTCCAGTTTCCACCCTTGCCGAACTAGGTTGGTATTATGGAGTTACCATTTGGGTGGACTTACGATTCTGATTCTAGGCATGGTCCAATCAAAATCGCGCAACGAAATCGAAATCCGGTTCGTAAACTGTCACGCCGATTTCGGTCGAATGCAGGATTTGCAAAGCATGTGCACCGCTAAGTCGTTGTCAACAGATATTTTCTAAATCTGTTCATGTTTTCAATCAAGGTGCTCACGTGATTTGACGCACTACGTGATGTAACACTCGTTTTATCACAATATAGATCTTGATTATCGATCAGATCGTCTTGACTGGGCGCCGCCATTTTGTTGAAGCAAATGCAATTGATACGAGAGGTGGAATCTGATTGGTCCATAGGAGAGACATGGAAGGGACATAACTCGTAGTAGCCACTGGTGGCGCTACGATCGCGCCCAGGAATTCAAGCCAAGTTCGGCAAGGGTGGAAAAAGGACTTTTAAAGTCAGTTTACTCTCTTGCCTCGGGAAGATACACTCTGGTATCCCTCACGATTGGACCAGTCTCCATTTTAGTATCATGTCATGTAAATATTGTTCAACATAACCTTCAACCAACAAACAAACAACATAACATTTAAAACACTATTTATAAAAAGGTATGCATTCGGAACACCAGTGAGGAGGAAAAATATATCTCTGATTTTTTTTTTTTAAATTTAAGCACTCCTCCTATACAGTAAACTGCGGTTAAAACGAACTCTAATTCTAGTTCGTTATAAGCATACATGCAGCATATATACAGCAAATGATAGGGACAAAGAAAATAGGTTCGTTATATCCGTCAGTTCGTTATAAGGGTGTTCGTTATAAACGTAGTTTACTGTATTAAGCATATATTTAGCAAATATTATGCGAAAAAGTATCGCATCGTACACATCTTGCAAGAAATATACGTCATACTGATAGTTGAAAATAAAATGAAGTTTTGGAACCGACTTCAAGAAAGCCGGCGACTTTACCACAGTGGTGCCGACCCTCAGTGTGATGTTCCCAAGACCTTTGGTATTCTCGCGGAACAGCTCAGTCCCCCTAGGGACGTCTAGTCCACCCCTCCGCGACCACGTGGCCACATGCTCTGACGTCAAAGTATTGTTCTCGTACCGCAACCTATCGATGTTGTAAAAACTCATCTGATTCTGTCCGGTGTTGTCAAACAGCGTGCTGTTTGTTTCTAACTGAAATTAATTACGTCGTAAATCATTGTATTCATCTTTCACAAATGCGTTGATTATGACATGTATTTACCTGTGTCTTTACAAGTCCTTACGTCACGCCAACGTTACGATTGTTTACAGGCAGGGGCGGTCGGGTAGCCTAGTGGTTAAAGCGTTCGCTCGTCACGCCGAAGACCCGGGTTCGATCCCCGACATGGGTACAATGTGTGAAGCCCATTTCCGGTGTCCCCCGCCGTGATAGTGCTGGAGTATTGCTAAAAGCGGCGTCACACAATACTCACTCACCAATTGTTTACAGGCCGCCGTCATATGGCAGGAGTATTGCTGTGCGACGTCAGGCAATAAACAAACACTTACTTTTTTGTGCAAATGTGTGAGTTGGGGGTGCTACCGGTAGGGCGGAACATGTTAACCCTTTTCCGTTATCGATTCATATAATTCTCGCCGCTTTTTCCCTTTTATGCCCAATGGAATCTGTATCAGTAGATGTTCGAGGCTGATTATTCTCTGACGTTGACAGTTTATATTATTAATAACATGAAACATTATAAAGAAGTGAGTGAGTATTGTTTAACGCCGCTTTTAGCAATATACCTGTAAACCACGGTAGGGGACACCCGAAACAGAGTCTTCGACGTGACTGGCCACATCTTTGACCAGCTTTGACCCTTAAGCTACCCCACCGCCCAAATGGTATAAGTAAACTATACGAAATATATCTGTTTTGAATATCATTAAATACTGATCGTTTTCTTTAATGCTTATACAAATACTGACTACTTTTGTGTAATAAATATCATTTTCACTTGGTATCGTAAGATTCTGTTTATACCTGACGTAAGCTGTGAGTGACCCGTTGAGCCACAGACGATATGCCGATGTAGCTGTCTCCGCACCGCTTGGTGGTGACGTTGTCTGCCGTTGCCACGTTGACGTTGATCGCCGTTGAGAGGGCCATGAAGGAGTCCAGCACGTGTGCATCTGTAGTCTACCATTAGTTGTAGAAGGAAAAGGAGGCAGAAAATACAGTAGATGTAATTAACTGGATACAACACATGTGGTGTACAACAAACAACATGACGGTATCAGTGCACGAGTTTGTTAAATGGATTTTAACGCTCTGTGAACTTATTACTATTTATCATATTAGGGCAGATCACAAACTCAGGTGAGATAATTCGGTCCATCAGTATTACATGGCGTGAGTACCATTTGAGTACGATGGTACGCTAAATCAGCCAGGACACCGAAAATACTCGTTGGGTTTCCGGAACGTATGCTTCTGGTACGAAGCAACTACAAAGGGGGGTTGTCAGGCTCGGGAGGGGCGATGGGGCAGCCTTATGGTTAAAGCGTTCGATTCCCCACATGGGTACAATGTGTAAAACCCATTTCTGGTGTCCCCATCGTGATATTGATGGAATATATACTCACTCATTCACTCACTCGGTAACTTGTTTTATTTAAAAAACAGCAAATTTCACCTAACGAACCTATTTTGACTATTAACGTTCAGATTAAGTGCCTGCATAAATATATGTAGATGGAATATTAGGCCCCTGTTCCGCATGGTTTGTCAAAGAGTCTTTTATATCAAGTATTTGACAAAAATGAGAGTGAACCTACATTAAAACTCTTGACATCACTGGGAAAGTTGGGCCTGGCTGCAGATATGTAGAGGACGTCATGGAACTTAGCGAAACCTTCTAGTCCGTGCGTGGAGCTGACAGCTGAAGACGGTACAACTATGGCAATGTTGTCTTCAAAGTCGTCTTCAGTGGTGTTCAGCTGAACGGCATTAGAACGAAAAGATATAACTATTTTATGTCATGCTCATCGCAATTAATTAAATAGCTGGAACAGATGGAAAAAAACACGAGTTGAAATTATATTTCCTGTATGGTAAAAATAAACTGTGAGGCTTACAAGACGTGACACTTCCTTCAGCGATTGCTCCCCTAGCATCAGGATGAGGCACGTCGTCGTATCGTCATTTTCTGTTACCCTTGACAACAGTGCTGTCGCAGTGCGTGCGTTGTAGCCTCCATACATATATGTCACGGACGACTCCACAAAGGCACCGGAAAGAAGGGACCGGAAGTGTGTGACCTGTGCCTCCGCTGGGAAATAAATGTCACATTGTAGTGCAATTCTCGGCAACAGATCATACAGATATAGCATTACACACATCTATGACACGTTACTTACACACATCTGTGAGGTCACCGTACTTACACACATCTGTGAGGTCACATTACTTACACACATCTGTGAGGTCACATTACTTACACACATCTATGACACGTTACTTACACACATCTGTGAGGTCACCGTACTTACACACATCTGTGAGGTCACATTACTTACACACATCTGTGAGGTCACCGTACTTACACACATCTGTGAGGTCACATTACTTACACACATCTATGACACGTTACTTACACACATCTGTGAGGTATCCGTACTTACACACATCTGTGAGGTCACCGTACTTACACACATCTGTGACACGTTACTTACACACATCTGTGAGGTCACGTTGCTTACACACATCTGTGAGGTCACCGTAGTTACACACATCTGTGAGGTCACATTACTTACCCACATCTATGACACGTTACTTACACACATCTGTGAGGTCACGTTGCTTACACACATCTGTGAGGTCACATTACTTACACACATCTGTGAGGTCACATTACTTACACACATCTATGACACGTTACTTACACACATCTGTGAGGTCACCGTACTTACACACATCTGTGAGGTCACATTACTTACACTCATCTGTGAGGTCACATTACTTACCCACATCTATGACACGTTACTTACACACATCTGTGAGGTCACCGTACTTACACACATCTGTGAGGTCACATTACTTACACACATCTGTGAGGTCACATTACTTACACACATCTGTGACACGTTACTTACACACATCTGTGAGGTCACATTACTTACACACATCTGTGACACGTTACTTACACACATCTGTGAGGTCACATTACTTACACACATCTGTGAGTATGGCGACCTGTACAAATCCCCCGGCCCGCAGGAGGCTGGTGATGGCGTTATGGCGGTACTCCGAGGGAGGCTGTACACGGAAGGAGGAAGGTACAGTGACCCTGTGGTGGCAGGGGTCAGTGTGAACACCGAGAACAGGAACATCGAGACCACCCACAGCGGCCTCTAGTAGGGTCAGCAGGCGGCAGGGGGAGACAACCACGAACCCTACAGTGTTATTCTTTACCTCTTCACAAACTGAAATTAGTGAAGCAATTCAATTAGTGTAGCAACTGCCACACACAACGACATTGGCTGTTTGTTTTCCGACAGTTTAACAACTGTGTATTGCAGTGAACCTCGGGATCAATATGTAATTTAAGAATGTACATCCTTGAAGATACACAAGCTAAACATGGCACCATAAGAAACACAGTGCAAATATTTATTTTGAGACATCGCTAAATCAATTAGCAACAAAATGTTTTGCTAAAGGAAAAGAGCTTTCCTCGCCCACTATGCATGCCACACTGAACATGTGTTTGTTGTTTTACGCCGCATCAAGCTATATGACGGCGGTCTGTAAGTAATCGAGGCTGGACCAGACAATCCAGTGATTGACATCATGAGCATCGAGCTACGCAAATGGGATACGATAACATGCATCAACCAAATTAGAAAGCCTGACTGACCGCCCGATCCCATTAGTCGCCTCTTACAACAAGCATAGGTTCCTGGATACCAATTACTCACGTTGAACAGAGCAGCATAGTGGAGAAAAAGTGGTGTAGAACTCAACTCACTCACACAATTTGGAACGTGGCGTCATACACCGCCCAGTCATTCATACAATCGTTCGCCCAGAGTTCACAACTCTTATCGGGGCAGTAGGGTAGTCTAACGGTTAAAGCGTTCGCTCCTCACGCCGAAGACCCGGGTTCGATTCCCGAAATGGGTACAATGTGTGAAGCCCATTTCTGGTGTCCCCCGCTGTGATATTGCTGAATATTGCTATAAGCGGCGTAAAACCATTCTCACTCACTCATAACTCTTATGTTACCATTGAGCACGACTCTGGTTCTCAAAGACCAAGGATAACAAATTGTGGACATTGGATGTTACTCAAATTATATTCTGGCGGCTATGGAATATAAATTGTCAGTGCAAGAGAATAAACAACCTAGATTTTCAGCCGACACAGATTCCATTTTGCGTTAAGGAAATCCTATGAATGGACCACTCAAAATCGGTGATGACACCAGGGCCCACTTGCACAAAACGATCTTAGTGCTAAGACTATTGTAAGCCTATGTTAAAGTATGGGAGCTAAGATCATCTTAGCACTAAGATCGCTTTGTGCAAGTGGGCCCTGGTGTTCGCAAAAAGGGTGAGCATGTCCTGTCCTACCGGAAGCACCCGCTAGTCATACAATTTGCATAAAAAATAAGAACGTATTGCATGACCCCACACAGCAGTACTCCCACCGTGCGACGTCAACCTGTAAACAACGAAACACTCTGTATAACGGATTGTGGTGCCGTAGACCAGTGAGCTATCCTGACATCGGTCACTGGCTGTCTCGAGCTGCTGTACCTTTCTGTATGACGTCCACTGAGTTCCCTTCTGCCAGACGTATCTCCACTATACCTACAAGGGGTGATGCATTGTTGGCGGCGATGTAGGGCAATGTCGTCGTCAGGACGATACTAGCGTTGTAAGATTCGTGGTAGATGAATCCTAGAATAAAACCAAGACTAACGAAACACACGGTTCTTCGGGCACTGAGGTAAAATGTTCCTGATAACAAACACAGAATCCTTTCCAGAGAGTATTGTATATGGTTCGATATTTGAAATGTTCGAACCCGACTATCATTGACTCATCCTCTCGGCTTTTCTTTACGGCGGTCGGGTAGCCTAGTGGTTAATGCGTTCGGTCTTCACGCCGAAGACCCAGGTTCGATTCCCCACATGGGTACAATGCGTTAACCCTTTTTTGGCATCCCCCGCCGTGATATTGCTGTACTATTGCTAAAAGCGGCGTAAAACCATACTCACTCATTCACTTAAGGGCATCAGCATAATATTATATACGTTGTTACCTTCTCATAAGAAACACACATAGCATTCAGTGAATAGCCTGGGGATGGATATCATTCAGATTTGCAAATATATATTCAGCAGTTCACTGAAACATTATTCCCGAACAGAGGTGGGTGAGGTGAAATGGGGTTTAATGTCGCGTCCAATATTATTGCACTTGTATAGCGACGTGCATGTATGTGTGTGTGTTTGTGTGGCTGCTTGTACTAGTCCGGACTGATGCCGATTTATAGTGCTAGCTCACTGAGATACCATGCCGCAGTTTAACATCAATACCCCACTCAGACACAGTATACTGACTCCGAGCCGACGAGTCCTTGTTTTAGCCCCTTAATGCCGAGCGCCAGACAGGGTAACAACAAGTACCATTTTTTAACGTCTTTTGGTATGACGCGGTCGGGGATCGAACCCCGGACCTTCCGCTATCCGGGCGGACGCTCTACCACTAGACCACGGAGGCGGTCATTCCAAAACAGAAACGCATTATGGCACCAAAGAAACATGACTAAATGCCACATAAATCGTAATGATCTTCCGACAACATACCTTAGTGACATCATAGAGGTGTGACATTTCACTGGTCTCTCTGCTCGAACCAAGTTACTGTACGTTTAAGCATGGTGCCCCAATCTCCCATCTGCCAGGCGTACCCACACTAAACCTTCCTGGCTGATTATCCAGTACTAATAAATCACCAAATGTCAAACCAAGTATATATTCTGTACACAGTACTTAAGTATTGACACAAGCACGTTGTTACTTACCGATGTTTACAGCACCGGTCAGACTGGACACCAGGTAGGCTAAACTGACCACCGCCCAAACGTTCACGTGCGCGTCTGATGTCGCCATATCTGCCCATCTAGTCATTCAAGCTGTGTTGAAGCATGGCTGTCGGTGTGTTGGAGAGGACGGGCGAGAGTGGCTTATTGTTGTCTGTTATCGTCCCCATCTACCTGTAATTCAGCGACAATGGCAACCTCCTCTCTCAGGTAAATCAATCCCGGAAACGGATCAATGGAAGGAATCGGTGCCAGAGGGGAGCTACTCATCATTAACAATCAGCTCCCTCGGGATCAATTACCAGACATTGCTGCCACTGACTACAGGTTTGTATGAGAATCTATCAGTCAGTTACTTGAACGTCAAAACAGGCATCGTACTCCACAGACCTCTGTGTCAACAGAACATGTTACCTTCACACACAGAAGGACGTCAACTAGTCTACCACAGGTAGCAGCTTTGAACCATTATCTGTATCATGGCACAGCGTGGATCCCAGTAATATAACATGGGCAGATTAACATCAATTTAGTATTGGATATTTTTTTCTGAGTTATATGAATTGCTTGGCCATATCGCTCGCACCGGATGTTTTGCTCGTGTTTTGAAAATATTTCAAGTACACTGCAAAGGCTGAACTCATCCAGTCTACAATTTAATCCACAGCCACTGTCTCGAGCCGCCTCCCCCACTCTTGTCTGGGGAGACGGACTAGTCCACCAACCACACACTGACGTCACTGGAGTCCCTCCCCTCTCTGGGTAGACAGACTACACCACCAACCACACACAGACGTCACTGGAGTCCCCTCCCCTGTCTGGGTACACAGACTACTCCACCAACCACACACAGACGTCACTGGAGTCCCTCCCCTCTCTGGGTAGACAGACTACACCACCAACCACACACTGACGTCACTGGAGTCCCTCCCCTCTCTGGGTAGACAGACTACACCACCAACCACACACTGACGTCACTGGAGTCCCTCCCCTCTCTGGGTAGACAGACTACTCCACCAACCACACACAGACGTCACTGGAGTCCCCTCCCCTGTCTGGGGAGACGGACTAGTCCACCAACCACACACAGACGTCACTCGAGTCCCCTCCCCTGTCTGGGTAGACAGACTACTACATCAACCACACACAGACGTCACTCGAGTCCCCTCACCTGTCTGGGTACACAGACTACTCCACCAACCACACACAGACGTCACTGGAGTCCCCTCCCCTGTCTGGGTACACAGACTACTCCACCAACCACACACAGACGTCACTGGAGTCCCTCCCCTGTCTGGGTAGACGGACTAGTCCACCAACCACACACAGACGTCACTGGAGTTCCCTCCCCTGTCTGGGTAGACGGACTAGTCCACCAACCACACACAGACGTCACTGGAGTCCCTCCCCTCTCTGGGTAGACAGACTAGTCCACCAACCACACACAGACGTCACTGGAGTTCCCTCCCCTGTCTGGGTAGACAGACTACACGGGCGGCGCCAGGTTCCTTCACGACAGCCATATCACACATACACACGATAGAAAGTAAACACTCAAATCTATTAATTTTGTATCCATAAAACGATTCTCCTAAAGACACACTATAGACACGGTTCATCACGAGTGTAATCTGCGAGTGAATCATAGTAGTCTGTGATTGCCCCGACAGCTGTCGGCCGTCGAGATAACAGTCAGTTAAAGCTTCCATATGAACAATGCCAATACTCGCGCGTGTACCAAAGGAAGTGAGCTGCAATGTTGTTTAACGTCGCATCCAAGATTATAGCACTTATTTGGCGACGTGCATGCACGTGGGTGTGCGGCTGCTTGTACTAGTCCGGAGTAATCCCGATTTTATAGTGCAAGCCCACTGAGATACCATGACGTAATTTAACATAAATACCCAACTTAGACAGAGTATTCGACTCCGAGGCGACAAGTCCTTGTTTTGGTCCCTTAATGCCGAGCCCCAGACAGGGTTACGACAAGTGCCATCTTTTTACGTCTTTTGGTTTGACGCCGGAGGGCATCGAACCCCGGACCTTCCGCATTCCGGGCGGACGATCTACCTCTAGACCACGGAGGCGGTCGTGTACCAAGTGAGGCAGGACAACTATCATCATCATAATGCATCCTTTATGAAGCTACTACAGTTCTGTGCTCAGTCACATAAGACCCGTGAATATCCGGGATAGAATAGATCTTCAGCAAGCCATGCTTGCCGTTAAAGGCGACTATGCTTGTCGTAAGGTGGTCGTACTAATCAATGAATTCTGTTAAATAAAAATACAATCACTATTAAAAAAATCAATACAATTAAAATCTGTCGCCAGAACGTGTAATTTCTCAATAAAACACCACAAATGGTACAAAAAGAAAGTAAATGTGAGAGACTGTCATTTGTTGTAAGATATCCTAGAATCTGATGAATACACATGTGTCACCTGGCTGTTTGTGTGTCGTCGCATCCGGCGTCATTGATCGTTGCGTTTTCCCCGTGCCCCTGATGTGTCTGGCTTTGATATAGGTGTACTATTGACGGGTGTGGAAATACGAAACGTCAACGCCAGAAAATAACCAGTCTCGATTATCTGCCGAACAGATTCTATTGGGCGTAAAAGGCAAAACAGCGTTGAAAAGTATGTGGATCGCTGAGGTGTTTGCGAAAGCTTTCATTCAACCCTCTTCAACTTTTCTTTGATGTGTATTCATATATTCTTATAAATGTTTGTATTTAACAAAGTATCATCAAGCAATTGTTTAAATTGAAAAAAACAAGGTTTGCCAGCAGAGGAAGCACATATTCAAATGAGGCTGCCTCAGGTTTGACAGGCTGTACGACCGTAGTCATGTAACTGTTTGTTTAAAATACGTAATATCATCACATACCTCCATCACTACACACTCAGATCGATACAGTCACGAGTTTGATAGGAGGTAGTATATAGATGTTTAAACACTCGGTTCCGGACAAACGCTATGTAGCATTCACTGGATCAAGACTCTCCACACACAAGGGTCTGTTTCGTGATTAAGTGCCTAACGATTGACTCATTTGGATAGTTTGAACATCTGCAACAGGGACAGAACAAGGGAGAGTGGTGGGGTCAACTTTGCAGAGAAACAATTAAGTCCTTTGTAGTACGCGGACTTCAGAAAATAAAAGACCTAAGTACCATATTTACAGTCGCGTGATGAGGTCAGATGGGAATGCAGACATGCTACTTTAATGATTGTCATGGCCATATACACTAATGCTGCAATCAGGTAGCTCTCCACAGTGCCATTACTGATGATGCAGAGCAGACCATGGCCAAGCGTGTGTGTGTGTTGGGTACTGTGTTTACATATACATCTTTGAAGATGGGAAGTACCAGGTGCACTGTCAGAATCATTATAAAATACAATGTTCGTACACTGGCTTAGACGCGGGAAAGTCTCTGTGTTCCAATATTAATTTATTTTTTAAAAAATATAAAAACCGAGAAAAATATTTTTCTTCGTCCCAGGTGTGTTCGGGATTTAAATCTCTTATAAATATATTGGAATGTCTTTTGTTGACTTTGCTTGATAACTTGTTTAACTTGAGACAGCATTTACATGTTATAACAAAACGTAGACTGGTCCAGTTTTACAATGGATGTCTGATTTATTATGTACAAGCTTAAGACATGCTACAAGATAGATGTTACACAAGGTTAATGTATACAACAAGTATTTTCCTTCCAATTTCGATTGTTGTTGAGAAACCGTATTTCAAGGTACTTAATATTTTGTACTACTATGAGACAATATGTCAAAAATCTTAACGTACATGACAGAGAATGTGGCATACCCAGAGCCTTGTGTCCCGCACGCACGTGTGAGTGTACGATTGCTTGTACCAGTCTGGATTTACCAGTCAGTTTTATATTAGTTTGATTTTTGGGTTTGTTTGTTTTATAACACAGATTAAAATAAATAAATGCACCAAAGGGGGTTTGGGTGATCCTGGCACTGTCAGGCTGGTTAGGCTCATCATCACCTCAGGGCCTTTGCCCCCTCTACACGCAGCCCAGACAGGGAATGGGACTTCTCCCAGGAAGCGCTGCCTAGTCGAACCCATCCAGAACTTTTTGAAGACTCCCCAACACTGCAGATTGTCAGAAGGGCTGTATTCCTGGCAGCAAACCCGGATGCTCTCACAATGTCAGTCAACAGATTGGGAGGTACCAAACCTAAGGCACCGAGAACGATGGGGAGTCGGACAACTTGGTACTAAAAATTGGGATACAAGCGTGACGTTTCGAAACGTTTCCGCATATTTACCATGTTTCTCCTGAATCTTGTCAATCACATAAATGTCAAAAGGGACAGAAAATTCAGTGATATAATTGATTTCATTGGGTTGATCAATAGAACACGTTCAGGTTCGTTGGCCTTGATAGGTCTGAGGCTGTATACGGGCCTATTCCAAAGAATTTTGTAATTATCATTTTTCATGACGCCCGCTACATATTCTAAGTCGGGCCGTGAATGGACCTCTGTGTCAAAACCACAAGCATGGCGAAGACGGTAATAGTAGGATCGAGCCACTGCATCATGTCGCTTAAGATACTTTATTTGTGCCAAAGCTGGGCATCCACTGACAATGTGTTGGACAGTGTCATTAAATTCATTTCATAATCTACATTTCATATTTTCATTTTGATGCAAAATCACACATTGACAGTTTCGAGTGGGAGGTGACTGGTCCTGAGAAGCAAACAGAAAGCCTTCTGTTTCACTTTTCAGGCCAGCCGACTTCATCCAAGCAGTGGACTCTGCAGGGTTGCCTTTGGTCACAACACACTCAGATCAACTCGATACAGTGGTCGTTCAGATAGCCTCTCCTTAAAAAACTGAGTTTGGACCGATTTGACTTGGCACTTCGTTTGGTTGACACTCATTTCTGTACCGTCCATCAGTAGAGAACCATCAACAAAATCAACATTGACACTGCGACTATGTCCCACATACTTGGCTCGTTTAAAAAAACGTGGGAAACCTTGTTTTCATCATGAGTCTTGACATGCTTCACAAGAGGATCATCAGACAAATACATGTGTGCAAAAGTGCACAATACAATTCTATCATGAAGAGCCTCCATGTTTATCCTGGTAAATACAAGCGATTGAGGTAAGAGCGAGGGTGGTGGTGTCTATTGTAGGACATGATTCTTCGTGTGAGGGTGTCAATACCCTGAATTTCTTGTTGTGTCCAATCAACAACACCAAAAGAAATCAAAAGGACGGACACAGCATAAGTATTTGTGGCTTTGACTTTATTGCGAGGAGCGTTCAGCTCTGAACTCCATATTTCTTAAGTCTACATTTGTATTCTGCCCGAAGTTTGTCTTTGATATGAATATTCTGGAGTTTGTCTGTAACCTACATCCCTAAGTGCGTACAGGGCTGACCTTCCACGAGATGGTCAATAACTCCTCCCCCAGGTAAACTGACTGATCCTCTCTCTTCTACCCTGCCACGTTTCAGACGAAGAATGTTGTATTTGTCGAGTCCAAAGGAATGTCGATATCATTGAACACGACAAGGAGGATCCGTTTTTTAGAGTGGATCCTCCATTGGCAATAGGTTCAAGGTCATCCATGTAAATGTGGTGAGAAAGGGGTGTTTGGGGATCTGTGCTGAGGAGGTCCAGGATGATAACCTTCCTCTTTGCTAAGCAAAGAGCGTAAAGGAATTAGTGACAAACAGAAAGCAAAGGACTAAAATAATCG